AGGAAAACTTGGGAAATTAAGACTGGACTTTCCTGCTAAAATGGCCTTTCTTTTTTAAAATTTTTTATTGTTTTTTTAAAAATTTCTTATTAATTTCAATGAAAATTTACAAACTTTGGATTTCCATTCATTCATTGTTGCACTTTTCTCCCTGCTCACTCCTCCCCCTCCCCCAGTTCACTCTTCTCTTTGAAAAGTAAAAGAAAAATTCTTTCATTGTTTTACAATCCCTCCCCCCAGGTCCACTATGTAGCCTTTGTTCTGGACTCCTGTCATGACAATAATACCTAATCACTAAAACTTTGAAACAGTTCTCTCCTTCATCTGTTTCAACGCAGTATACATAATTTATCCCATCTTTCTCAAGTCTTCCCCTAACTCCAATGTCAGTCCCGTTCTACAACAGTGGCACTATGCAGTATTTGTCCTTTTGTGACTGAGATATTTCACTCAGCATAATGTCCTCCAGGGTCACCCATTTTGAATAATATTTCATGAGTTCCTTGTTTTTCAATGCAGCATAGTATTCCATTGTGTGAATATATTCATAGCTTCTTTATCCATTCATTTGTTGATGGGCCTTTCTTAAGAGTGCAATGTCAGGGGCCTGGGCCATCTGAGAAAGACCACACCACCTTTGTCACCTCTACCTTCCAAATTCCCACTTGTTTCCTCACCCCTGATGTAATTTCATGCAACAATACCTCTTGGAGGGATTCTAGCCTCAGCTGTCAACTGACACTGTACACAGGAAGAAGACAGCTACAGCCCATGACAAAGGCCTGGCCTTGGCTACTGGAGAGAAAAGGTCAGGTGTCTGCTCAGCTGCATAAACAATTGTGTGACCTCAGACCTAACATGCACTCATTTTTTATTCTAAAATACTGGTTTATTTACAAAGTTCTTATCATTGTTATCCACACAGGATTTTTCCCATTTCCTTTACCCCCTCCATCAAATTGTGTGAGCCTTCCACCCTCATCCCTCTGCTCTCCCCCTCCCCAGCTCGGTGGCTCTTACTCATTCTATAGTAATAGATATACACAGTATTTGTCCTTATGGGACTGAGTTAATTCATTCAGTATAATGCTTTCTAGTGTTCCTGTGTGCTCCGTTGTATTCCCTTGTGTGAATGTCCCATAGTTTCTCAATTAATTGACATTTGGGCTGTATCTATGTTCTTGCAATGGTGAATAATACTGTTATGAACATTTGTGTATAAGTCTCTGTTTGTGTCTCACTTCTTATTCTCTCTGAATATATTCCGAGCAGTGGAATAGCTAGGTTGTATGGAATTTCTATGTTCAGCTTTCTGAGAAAATGCCAAACTGTCTTCCAGAGCACTTGTACCATTTTACAATCCCACCACCATGTATAAGAGTTCCTATGTCTTCCTAGTTCTCCAACATTTATTACTTGCTGTCCTGTTAAATCTTGCCATTGCTACTGGAGTGAGATGGTATCTCATTGTGGTTTTGATTTGCATCTCTCTTATTATAAGTGATTTTTGAGCATTTCTTCCTGTGTCTGTTGGCCATTCTAATATCTTCCTCTGTGAAAATTCTTTACATGTCTTTTGCCCGTTTTGTAATTGTGTTATCAGTCTTTTTCTTGTGGAGGTCCTGCAGGATTCTGTAACTGTTGATATCAGACCCATGTCTGAAATGGTATTGCCAAATGTTTTCCCCCAAACAGTAGGTTTTCTTTTCACTCTGCTGGAAAAAGGTTTTGAAGCACACAGGGATTAGGTTTTGAAGCACACAGGGATTTGATCTTTAGAAGGTCCCATTCACCAATTTCATCCTCTCCAGATTGAACATTTCTAGCTGTTTTTGGCAGTCTCTTTATACCATAGACTAGGCCACCTAAGCTTGACCCCAGTTTGTCTTTGATGAACTTTATGGTCTCAGATCCATCTGGAGCTAATTTTTTAGTATGGTGTGAGATGTGGATCCTATTTAAGCTTTCTGCAGGAAGCAGATCAATTTTGCAAGCACCATTTGTTTAAGAGGTTATCATTTCCTCATTTAATAGATTTTATTTCCTTGTCAAATATAAGTTGACTATTGATAACTGGGTCCTTTTTCTGGGTTCTCAATTCTTTTCCTTTGGTCTGTGTGCCTGTCATTGTACCAGTACCATGCTGTTTTGGTTACTACCACTGTGTAGTAGGTTTTGAGGTCAGGAAGTGCTATACCTCCCACTTCATTTTTGTTTTTTCAGAAGTTCTTTGTTTATTAACTTGACAATTTCCCTTTCCATTTCCTTGAAGAATGATTTTGGTATCTGTGTTAGGATTGTGTTGACCATGTAGATTGCTTTTGGTAGGATTGTAATTTTCACAATATTGAAGTCTTCCTATCCATGAACAGGGCCATTTCTCAGAAAAAGTTACTTCTTTCTCTACCATCATTGTTCAAATGAGAAGGGCAATCTTATAAAAATCTAGTTATAATCATGTTGCAATCTGTAAGTCCTACTCTTTCCTTAGCTTCCTCATTATTTACCCATTAATTTTGAACAAACATAGGCCTGTACTTGTTGGAAACTCTGACTGCAAAGGCTGGAGCTCCTGTGATGGCCAAGGTCAGGGTTGGAGCTTGAGAAGGATCCCTGAGGCCTCACTTCCCTTAACAACATTTTCGCCAGAGACTCCCATCCCTGGTTTGATTGTATAATCCCATGTATGGTCTTGGTGATGGTCTGAATGAGTTGAGCTTCTGTGGTACTTAATTGAAGTCACCTGCAGGATAGTCTCAGAATCCTATCTCAAACTTGCTTCCCTGCTTTCCTGGTCCAAGCCACCATCATCTTTCACATTGACTTTCATAAGTCTCCTCACTGGTCTCCCTGCTTCCACATTTGCCCATTCAATCTACTTTCAGCCTAGCATTCAGAACAAAACCCCAAATAAGCTCATCACCTCATGTTGTTATTGTGCAGTCAAGTTGAGTAAGTAAGACCCATAGCAACCCTACAAACAACAGATCTGAACCCTGTTCCATTCTATGCCATCCTCACATTGTGATAGACTCAATCCAATTGCTGTAGTAACTGTGTCATTTCATCTGGTTGAGGGTCTTCTTCTCTTTATCTGTCCCTGTCCTAGCAATATCCCAAAAGTATAAGAGATGAAACTTTATCATCTTTATCTCCAAGGAGCACTCTGGCTGCACCTTCTCCAAAACATATGTTTGTTCTTTTGGCAGTCTATGTGATGTTCAGTACTCTTCTCCAACACCAATTGTGTTGGTGATGATGAGGATGGCCCAGGACAGGACGGGTTTCAGATCTATTGCTTATACAGTCGCTATGATTGTACTTGACTCAATGTCTCTCAACAACAACAACATGCCTCATGGTGAGTGTCAACCCCTCTACGTGTTTCCAAGTCTGTAGATCTTAATGAGAGTGAACTGCTTCATGTCAGAGCTGCTTCTATAAAGGACAATCACAGCATGTTACTGCTTTCTTCAAGCCCTTCCTGTACATACCCATCTCAGAGTAAAAGTCACATGCCCTAAGAGCCTTCAAAGCCATTCACCTGCAGTTCTCAAACTCACTAGCACTTTGGAACCATCCAGTAGCTATAAACAATACTGATCCTGAGTGTCTTTCCCCAAACCCTCTGACGTAATTGACATGGGGTGTGACCTGAGCAACAAATTTTTCAAAGCTCCTCAATTGAGCTGAATTTACAGCCAAGATTGAGAGCCACTGCTCAACTCTAGGAGTTTCTTCTTGCTCATCTTACCTCATCTCCAACTACTGCCCTGGCCTCTCTTGATTCCAGATACATGGATCTTCTTCCTCTTCTTCAACTTGACAAACGAGCTGCCACCTCAGGGCCTTTGCATATGCTGGCTCCTCTGCTTAGGAAGCTCTTCGCTGAGATATACACCACATGATTTATTTCCTTATCTCCAAGATTAGCTCAAATGTCACCTACTTAGTGAGGGTTTCTCTGATCATCCTAGTATAACCCCTCACCACAGACCCCAATCCTCCTCTCCTATTTATATGTCTCTATAGTATTTCTCACCATTTTACATGTTATATATTTGCCTTTTTTAATTTTATTATCCTCCAAGTAGAATGCAAGCTCCATGGGGGCAGGGGTTTGGTATACTTCCTTCACTGCTCTCTTTCCATTAGACAGTACTGACTCATAAAATACCCACTAAATGAGGATATAATCTTCTCCCCCTTTTAAGATTCTCAACTGCTCTTTCATATCAAGGCCCAGTCAACCAGTCAGGTTCTCTCTAGACCAAGAATAACACCTAGATTCATGGCACACAGCAGCTGTTTAATATCTAGAGATAAACAGAACCGTCTTCCCTGGGAAAAACTAGCATTTTCAACCCACTGACTAGATGCTTCCTGGACACTCCAACTCCAAGTTTCTTAGTGGTTTGCAGCTCTAAGAGTTTTTTTAAATTAAGGAAAGAAGAGAGAGGGGAAAAAAATATGTGCAGGGGGGCTTACAGAAGTTAATGAGATTTTCTCAGCTGTGGTACGTGCTCATATTTTTAATAATTAAAAGTAATAAAACCTCAAACTGAACCTTAAAGGAACATCTTTCTGTAACAAAGAGAAAAGCCAAGACCGACGTCTCTGTCTGGTGTAATGACTTGTTAGGCTTTACATGATGGAGATGCCATATAAAACTAATTTCTAGGGGAAAAAAAATAATGATTCCTAAAAATGTACCTAATTGGGTTAAAATGAAATATTAATAGAAATGCTAGATGGTTTCATGGTCCTTAAGGAGTAAATTAAGTTATTAATCCTCAAAATCTCAGGAGGAAGCATGTAGGGAGGGTAGCCATTCTCCCATGCTTAGCACACAGAAAAACTGAGGCTGAGGCAGAAGAGTCCTTCAGGAAAGGATCCCAGGGGACCAGATGCCTAGTCCCGACTGTTCCTCATTCTGTGTTGACTCCATCCCCCCAAAGACAAGTCAGCAGGGGGTGGGCCCAGTCACTGACTCTGCTCACCCACTGGGTCTGAGGTCTGGCAGAGGCCGATCAAGGGGCAGGCGGTCACTGAGGTAGGCGTTGTAGCCATAGTACTGGAACTGCTTCAGAGCCACGCGCCGGCCTTCAGGGCTGAGCTCCTGGCCCCAGTGTGCAAACAATGAGGAGTCTGTGAAGGGTTCAGTCTCTACTTCCTCAGGCTTCGCAGGAGCCTCTGGGGAAAGAAGAGAGGAGAAAAAATCAGAGTGCATCATGCATAAGCCATGAGAACCCCTTCCTCTTCTACCCAAATTGTCTTCAGTAAAACAGTCTTAGCTCCCGGTGATGGGAGCTTGAATTTTCTTACTTCTCAAGGATTAATCCATCCAAATATCCATCCATCCAGTCAGCCATCCAGCAGCCATCTTTCCATCCAGCCATCTTTCACCCAACAATCACTAGCTAAAAAAAGCAAGCCCAATGCAGTTGAGTCAGTTTTGATCCATGGTAGCCCTCCCTCAGATTTCCAAAGCTGTAAATTTTAAGAGAAGCCTATAAGCTTCATTTTTCTCCCATGAGTAGCTGGTAGACTTGAACTACCAATCTTATAGGTAGCAGGCCAAGATAGAATGCACTGCAAAACTCATTGCTGCGGAGTCAGAACTGACTCATAGCTGACCCTCCAGTAGATTTCTGAGCTTGTAAATTTCATGAGAGGAGATTGCCCATCCTTTCCCTGTAGATCTTCTGTAAATTCGAACCACCAGAGGTATGGACTTTGGATTAACTGTGAAAGTCCCTATGGACTACATCACTCCAAGGGATCTACAAATAAACCCTACAAGACATACTAAAAACCTGATCATGCTAGGGAGTTTGTTCCCGGTCCATTAAATAGAAATGTACTTCTTCCTCTTTAAGTTATACTTCCATTCATTCCTGGCGCCATGATGCGGATCTTTTCTGATCACCTCTTGCCAGCTTACCACCTTGGCTCTGAGCACTCCAGCTCCTGTCCTGCCCTTTGTGGCTCCCAGGCTCTTCCCACCAGAAGAGAGAATTAGGAACACAAGAGACAGTCAGCCCATGCCTCGCCTGCCTCACGTCCTAGGTAGTGCTCCTTGTACCCCAAGCAGGTTTTGAGGGGACAGCTCCACCCACCCTAGGTCATGGAAAACTCATGGTTTCCCTGAAGGTTTCCTAGAAAACGGAGGAAGCATAGGGATCTGAAATATATCCTAATTTGGACTCACACAGACACTGGTTCAAATCCCTGCTCTTCCATTCACTGGGTCTACTAGAAAACCAATAGCAAACACCCGACTTCTCTACACCCTGATTTTTCTGTTTGTGGGGGTGCTAATAACCCACACACATCCTAGAAACTTTTTGAAGACTAAATAAGATGGTGTATGTAATGCACTTAGATCAAAATCTGCCTCAGGAAAAAAGTGCACAGTAAGTCGCCATTCTAACAAAAGAAGTTTGGTAGGTCATTTAAATGCCTCATTGTGAAGTTTAGAGAGTCCTTTGCAGGACATAGGTTGATGGGCCAAGATTTTGGAGATGGTTTAAAGGACAGATAATCAGGTAAAGTACTCAGAAAGTAGATAGAGATGCCAAACTCACTGGACAACATCTTCGATGCTTATAAACACATGATATAAATCTGAGATGGAACAAGAAGTTAGAATGTGAGAAAGCCAGAAGGAAATAGAAGCATGTAAGGAACAAGAGATAGGCTTGGATGCCTACCAACATCATTTCAGCTGCCGGTATGCAGCTGATGAGGCATAGGGCACCTGTAGCCTGTCTAGTTTAGAAACATAGTGGAGGTAGGTTAAGGCTTTGAGGTTTTCAAGGTTGAAGAGATCACAGCCACATACCCTAGTTCTCACTACTACTTTTCTTTTGGGGAGTCTCTTGCAGACAGTACAAGTCCTGGGAACAAAAGCGGAAACTTCCCAACATTTAAACCTTCGTAACGCAGAACATAGTAACACAGAAGGTACACCAGTGGTAAAGAGTCCCTCTCACTGGAAGTGTGCAAAAGCTGTCATGGGACACATGAGGACCCATCTCAGCTCCTTACAAATGAGAGAATCCACAGTGCTGAACACAGAGACCACATTCTTGTCAGATCAAGAGGGGAGGGATGCAAAGACACATAAACAGGAGGGGAATTCCTAGGCGCTAACTGAATTTGCAGGTAAACAAGCAGAAGACATTGAGTCTCTGGATCATGTCCTGGGGAAAATTCTCCAAGTTTCTCTGTCTCTGTCTCTCTCTCTGTGTCTCTCTCTCTGTCTTGGTCTCTCTCTCTGTCTTGGTCTCTTTCTCTCTCTCTCTGCTATTGAGTTTCATTTCACTCATAGATAACCCTTTCTGGAGTTTCTGAGGCTGTAAATAAATCACACAGGAGACGGCCTATCTCTCTTCCTCAGATATGCTGGTGGATTAGAGTCACCAGAGAGGCCGTTCTCTAAGTTAGAGATTGGTATGACACCTGAGACAATTTTAGGGGTTTCTTGTTACTATGATTTGAGGGAAGTTTGACAAAACAAATTGATTTTCCATTCAACCATCCATACACATTTTAATTTGTCTCATTAATTATAAAGACTGAAATGTGACCCTACTCTTTCCGCTTCTCTCCTGTGATTCTCATTTCCATGAATCCTGCTCTCCTCCTCCCTCCTGCCTTTTGAGCTTTATCTTTCAAAGCGGCCATCTTTATCCTGCAATAATTTTAGTAGTCAACACTGAACGTCTGGACCCTGTTCTAAGTATTTTTCACATATCAATTCACTTTACTTTAGAAGGCAGGAAGTGGCATCATCTTCATTTCTCAGGAAAGTGACACACTGAAAGGATATGAAATGTGCCCAGGGGCCCATAGAAAAACATGGATTTTTCTATTCGATCATAGGGAGTCTGCCTCCAGAGGCAGTGGGTTCAACTACTACATGCATTGCCTCTCCACAACAGTGAGCCAAGATATATGTGAATATCTGGGGAAGGCACGGCATTTTGTTTCAGCTATTCATTTTCTTTGAAGATAGGGAAGGAAACTCATATACATCAGGGGGGGTATATATTTATATATATAAAGAAAATACAAATTGCTCATGCATTTCTATGACAAGGTGAGAGTTTCATGATTATGGAGACCTGCCCAAAGTTCTCTCCAGCATGTCGGGGAGAACTTGCCCATTCTTCTCCCTCAGCGGACACAGTGGAGAAAAACGCAAGACCTGTGTGATCATGAAGGGCCTTGTTATCTCTAAAGAGATGTATGGCTGACAGCGAGGCCTGTCTGTTGCCAGGAAGCATCGAGCCTGCTTATAATGAGGGCAGGTCTTCAGAGCCGTCCTGAAGCCTTTCATCATTCCCTCTGTGATGTTCCTGGGAACAGTCTGATGCCATGGTCTGAGGCCTTCGTTAGTTCTGTGCTATCTGAGGCAGCAACAAAGGCAAGAGAGCAGACTGGCTCCTTTTTGTTTATAGCAACCCAGACTGCTTTTCCTGGCTCCCAGGATCTAAAAAAAAAAAAATCATAGCCTCTAAGCTGGCTCCTACACCATGCCACAGTGTTCCACTGGCCTGACCTTAGAAGGCAGGAGCTGGGCCTGACATTCTCTCCCTACCAAACCCTGGGGCAGCTGTGTGGCCATCTGCCTCCACTGTGGTACAAGCACACCCTCAATGCACCTGTCTCACTGTCCATCTCATGCTATAGTGTAGGGTCCCTAAATGTAGGGCACCTGTTGACTCATCATCTCTATTCTCCTACAATGGTTCTCAACATGTACTCATCACTTCTGCCTGTAGCATCTGTCACACCCCAACCAATAATGGTGGCTCCCTAAGCCAAGTGCCCTTGAGGGATAGGGACACATTAGAATTCTCAAGAGTCCTATGTGGTTGTAATAGACCATAGTAAAAAAATCTACAGGTACTTTAAGGGAATAAGAGCCCAGTGTAGAACCAGGTAAATCCCTGCTCCCCAACCTCAGGCAACTTCCCTGCAGGAGGAGACTTCTCCTGAATGTGCCTTCTGGGCACTGCATCACAACCACCTGGGAAGCCCATGGTATAGACTTGGATGCCTAAAATAAGACTTGGTCCCTTACAAGAGCTGCCAGGCAGGTGGGAAGAGGAGAGAAGTCAGCAGCCAGGGACAGGGGACGACTGCAGATGGATTCTTTAGAGGCTTTTGCAACACTTGAATGTGTTGAAGGCCCCTACAAGATTTGCCTTGAGGGTGAGTGGTCTTTTGACATTCAGAGAGATGATACGAAGCATCAATATGCTCAACAAGGGAGAGGAAAATAGACTTTGCAGTCATGAGTTATTAAACTTCCAAAAGGCTGTTTGAAAAAGGTAATGATAAATGCACTATTACATCTGAAGACATCACAATATTTTCCCAGTAAAAATTAATGATATCTAAAAGGATTACAGAATTCCTTCAGCGGATAAAGCATGAAGGATTGTTTTGCTGTTTGAGATTTGAAATGTTTAGAACTGACATTAAGTTGTTGGTTGATGAGGGTGTGTTTCTTACCACTCGTTAATAATTATCTTGCCCTAGACTTTCTGCTCTAGAATTTCTAAAGATAAAGTATCTCAGGGTAGATTTTTAACCAATTTGTCAGGTGATTCCTGTGCACATGCTGAGCTTCAGAAACAACTGCTCCAAACCAGTGGTTCTTGGTTGCACACTGGCAACAACTATGGAGATAAAAATGAAATTAAAAAAATGTGCCTCAGCCTTACCACCAGAGATTTTGCTTCTATTGGTGGGGCAAGGGTCTGAACATCTGTATTTTATGTTGTTGTTATTGTCATTTTTGATGTTTTGCCACGCAGTCAGCTGAACATGCAGTAGCCACAGCAGACAACCCGGGTAACCTGAAGGATAGCTCCTGTGTGTAGGTCTGTGCATATGAGTATGATGCTCTGGGCAGCATCATCTGAGACATGCATGGCTGGGCTCCTGGGCTCTACTAGGAAATGGTGTGGTTTCCCTCAGGATGTTTCTGGCCAGTCAACAGACAGGCCCAGTAGCCTCTGTTGTATTCAGGAGAAAAGGACAGTGGTTTCAGGGGAAAAGCAAATGGACCAGCACAATTTCTGATTACCAAGCATAGGTAGCCTGAACTAAGGCAGCAGTATCTGAACCTACAATTGCTAAAGAGCTATGTGCCCTGATGCTCGAGATCGGTATCTTTA